TAGTTCAGTTCTAGTTCAGTTCTAGTTCAGTTCTAGTTCAGTTCTAGTTCAGTTCTAGTTCAGTTCTAGTTCAGTTCTAGTTCAGTTCTAGTTCAGTTCTAGTTCAGTTCTAGTTCTGTTCTAGTTCAGTTCTAGTTCAGTTCTAGTTCAGTTCTAGTTCAGTTCTAGTTCAGTTCTAGTTCAGTTCTAGTTCAGTTCTAGTTCAGTTCTAGTTCAGTTCTAGTTCAGTTCTAGTTCAGTTCTAGTTCAGTTCTAGTTCAGTCCTAGTTCAGTTCCGTTCAGTTCTAGTTCTTTCTAGTTCAGTTCCAGTTCAGTTCTAGTTCAGTTCTAGTTTAGTTCAGTTTAGTTCTTTAGTTCAGTTCTAGTTCAGTTCTAGTTCAGTTCTAGTTCAGTTCTAGTTCATTGTTCTAGTTTCAGTTCTAGTTTTTTTCAGTTCTAGTTCAGTTCAGTTCAGTTCAGTTCTAGTCAGTTCTAGTTCAGTTCTAGTTCAGTTCTAGTTCAGTTCTAGTTCAGTTCTAGTTCAGTTCTAGTTCAGTTCTAGTTCAGTTCTAGTTCAGTTCTAGTTCAGTTTCTAGTTCAGTTCTAGTTCAGTTCTAGTTCAGTTCTAGTTCAGTTCTAGTTCAGTTCTAGTTCAGTTCTAGTTCAGTTCTAGTTCAGTTCTAGTTCAGTTCTAGTTCAGTTCTAGTTCAGTTCTAGTTCAGTTCTAGCTCAGTTCTAGTTCAGTTTCTAGTTCAGTTCTAGTTCAGTTCTAGTTCAGTTCTAGTTCAGTTCTAGTTCAGTTCTAGTTCAGTTCTAGTTCAGTTCTAGTCAGTTCTAGTTCAGTTCTAGTTCAGTTCTAGTTCAGTTCTAGTTCCGTTCTAGTTCAGTTCTAGTTCAGTTCTAGTTCAGTTCTAGTTCAGTTCTAGTTCAGTTCTAGTTCAGTTCTAGTTCAGTTCTAGTTCAGTTCTAGTTCAGTTCTAGTTCAGTTCTAGTTCAGTTCTAGTTCAGTTCTAGTTCAGTTCTAGTTCTAGTTCAGTTCTAATTCAGTTCTAGTTCAGTTCTAGTTCAGTTTTAGTTCAGTTTTTATTCAGTTCTAGTTCAGTTTTAGAAAACAAATTGTACAAGTTTAAAATACATATTATTATTTTAGCTATTATTCACTATTAGAATTCAAAATGTTTTCTTTGTAACAAATAATTTTTCCTAGATACCGCAACAAAACGCAGAAATTAAATTTTAATTAACATGCCTTAATTAAGGCCATATGTTAAACAAGATAAAATTACAATTATATTATTTTATATTTAATTTAGGTTCATTAATACAACATTTTTAAATAGTTTGTAATTTGTACATTTCATGTTTCTCATTATCCCTTTCCCTTCTATAACTTTCTTAGACAAATGATCTGGCAATATTGTATCTATTGATGCAAAAACAAATTTTGTCTCATTATTATTTATAACCTGTCAAAATTATTCCCACACTTTTATGTTTGTTATGATTTTTTTGTTGGTATGATTTGCATGCAGACGACTACACGCAGACACACTTACCAAACAAGATTTGTTGTGTCCAGCCTTTTTACTTTATTTACTAATAAGAAATAATAACAAAATACTCACCTTATGTTTTCGGCAATTATTTAGTAGATGAAGCAAATAATTTTAATTAGAAATATCCATTTTGTTTGTTACTTTTTTAGTTGTGTGTCACTCTCACTTTCTTTTAAGCAAGATGAATCATATTTTTTTTTTTCTGTAACAAAAGCCAGACATTTGATTTATTTTTTTTTATTGGTTTGGCAAAGCAGCCTCCACTTGTTTTTTTTTTTTTTTTCTTTTTTATAAAATTACTTGTTAAAAAACACTTTAATACTTTTACTTAACACTTTTTTCTGGTTATTTACATGTTATGCATAAATTTAATTTATTAACAAGAGATACTTAGCAAACATTTTTATGTTTTTGCTAAACATTTTTAGAAATGCCACTCACGTATTTGTCGCAAGGACAAATGTTAAAATAAGCACGTTTAATTTTCACTTTTTCCGTCTTAATAATCCCTTTTAACTAGAAAAAAACTTTATTTTTGAAGATTTTCCTCGAAAAAATAACAAATCCCTTTTAATATCCGTTTCACAATGTTCGGCACGCGACAACAAAATGTAAACTGAAAGCCAACGCGCCACTAAACAAAACACAAACATCAAAAAAAAATAAACGTCATCAACATCATCATTATTATCATTACATTCGTATCATAACGAAAACAGAAAACGCAAAACAACAACAACACTTTAACTACAGTGATGAAAACATATACAGAACAGCACGAACATATGATAAGTTTTTAGTGGGGTTTTGTTGTTGTTGTTGTTGAGTTTTTCTCTTGCAGAATCGAGAGCATAAAAAGGAACCGGCAAATATCAACAACAACAAAACAAAATATCAAGCACAACAAGGCAGACACGCAGGACTTTGGCAAGTGTTCATTCAATAAAGTAGTATGAGCAATATGTAAACAAAGCTAAAAAAAACAGGGAAAGAGAGATAAGTATTAACTCTCTCGGAAATACTTGAATTAGTAAATAAACAAAGAACAGGGCTGGAAATGTTATTATATTAAAATTTTGTTATATTTAAAATTAATTGTATAAAAATGAAGAAATTTTAAATAAAATAAACAAAAATTATTAAATAAAGCTAAAATAATAAGACTTGTTACAAATGGAAGTACAAATGGAAGTACAAATTGAACAAAATTATTTTATTTTGTTGCTAAAAAAACTTTCTAACCCTGTGGTTTACTGCAAATGTAAACAAACATGTGTTTGGGAGTTAGTAAAATTGCAATAAGGAAAGTTGAAAAAAGAGTGCAAAGAGTAAAAGAGAAATTTAATGCATTTTGCATAAAGTAGCCAGATTGTTTAGTGACTAAACTAACACAAATATTAAAAGAATTAACTGTTTCTGGCTACTCTAAACTAATAAGAGCATAACAAAAACAGAGAGAGCAAAAGAAAAATGTAAACATTGTTTAAATTCGTGCAGATTGCAAAGGATTTCTTTTGTTATTTACAGTTAGTTTGATGAATGAGTCTGTATGTTTGTTTTTTTTTTTTCCTTCCTATTTTGTTTTGTTGATGTGGTTGTTATCATCAGCAGCAGTAGACACAGTGGGGTTCTTAAGGGTGTTAAATTGAATATACCACCACCTCTTATAAAATGTGTGTAAAAGGCTGGTGGAGGTTTTTCGTCTCGTTGTTGGTTACCTTTTGGTACTTAGAAAACTGACATGTTGTTGGTTGTAAGAGGGTGTTTGCTTGTAGCTGAATGCAAGTACATATTGGAAATATCAAAATTTAAGGTTTGGGTTTTTTTTTTTTTTTGGTAATTATTATAATTTTAGGTGATTTAGATAAGAATAAGTGATAAAATATATAAAATATTTTTAAAAAATTAAGCTTAGGGAATAGCAAGAATATAAATATTATTCAAATTAGCTACATAAATTGCTTGCCTGCACTTTTAATTTACAACTTTTTAGTTTTATAGATTTTGCATAAATTTATTAGCGTTAAAAAATTAATTTATTGGAGGTAAAACAATTTTATTTTTGTTTAATTTTCTGATAATTTTTAATTTTTCTAAGGGTTAAAAACAATATTTAAAGACCTTTTAACATAAATAATTCATTACTTTCATTGAAAATGTAAAAAAATAAAAGAAAAAACAAAATTTTTTCCACAAATTATCTGCTTTATCTGTAATCATTGTTTAATCGTATTTTTTCAATTAAATTTTTCATAGAAAATGATTTAGGTATTTTATTTTCAGAGACCACTACCTTTTAACGGCTATATAGATATAGCAGTTCATCCTAACACTAACGTTAAAACAGTGTAAGTTGACACATTCTGTTTTATCGTTAAAACAGTGCTTCTAGTCTTTTAAGCATTACCGTTATTGCAGTGTTTACATTCAATCGTTTTTTGCTGTCAATGCAGTTCTCTCCTATTTACAAAAATTTTTATCACTTAATAAGTATTTTTTATTTTATTATTAGAATTTAATACTATAACATTTATTTTAAACGTAGAATTCTGTATAAATTACTGTTTTATTAAAAGTTAAGCTTAGAATCGTTAAAATTAATTAAAACTTCGGCAATTTAAGTTAATACAGTTAAACATTATTATCTGGCAATTAAAGCACATTGCAGAATTACAATATTTTTATTAATTTAGCATGATGTTTTATTTTTATAAAGAGGTTCTGTTAAATTATTGCAATTTAAAAATGTTTATTTCTTAGCTAATAATAACAAGCCAATTTTTCAGCACAATTTTGCAGCTTAAATTAGTAAAAACAAAGTAACAATTAATAGATATTGCAGTATTAGGTAACACAGTCCATTGTACATTAAAGCAGCTCTCACGGTATACGGAGTTGTCATTTTTAGTATGTATCTTCAAAAACCTTAAATTATTAATATTTTTCATTATATTGTTAAAATTAAACAATATGAAAATATATTTTTTTAATTTTTAAACTAAAATTTACATAAAGCACTTTTATAACAAAATTTGAAGCTTAAATTAGTAAAAACAGAGTATGTAACAATTAAAAGATATTGCAGTTTCTGATAATACAGTTTCCTACTAAGTTAAAGCAGTGTTCACAGTATCGTACCACATTGCAGAGTTGGTTTTTTAAGTACCATAAAAAACGTTGCTACACAACTGCGCAAATATCTAAAATATTTATACTTCCTCTCCAATTCTTGAAATTACACAAACTCGAATACAGTTTTTAAATAAATTATTACTTAAATTAAACTTTTATTAAAATTTAAAGCTCTAAAATCAAAATAAATGGATTCATTTCTTACTTAGAGTTGTATTTTTTATTACTTGCTTGAACATGTAAACACGCCCTAAAATACCACCCTGTTTGCAAAAAAAAAAACACATACAAAAAACAAAATGTCGGACATTTAACCCAAGCCAACTTCATGATGTAGCGAAAAAAAACGAATACATACATTTTTCAGTATCGATTGGAATAACACGTACGTGTGCTCCAAGCTGAAAAATATAAAAAGTTTAATTAAATAAAATTTTCTTTTGAAAAAGTTCAAGTAAAAAAAAAATATATTAAAAAATGGGTGATCAACGAGGAACGCGTGTGTATGTGGGAAATTTAACTGATAAAATTAAGAAAGACGATTTAGAAGGAGAATTCACAAAATATGGTAAATTAAATTCAGTATGGATTGCATTTAATCCACCAGGTTTTGCATTCGTCGAATTCGAACATCGTGACGATGCCCAAAAGGCATGTGATGTTTTGAACGGCACCGAATTATTGGGCTCCCAATTAAGAGTGGAAATCAGCAAGGGACGCCCACGTCAAGGTGGTAGACGCCAAGGAGGTGGCGGTGGTAGAGGAGGCGGCGGCGGTGATAGACGCCGTGATGGCGGTGGCTTCGGTGGACGTCGTAATGGAGGAGGTGGTGGTGGCGGCGGTGGCTTTAGACCACGCAACTCAAGCGGCGGCCGTTATCCCGACCGTGGTTATGGCGGTTCGGGTGGTGGTGGTGGCCGTTCCGGCGGCGGTGGCGGTTATGGACGCGATGGCTATGGTAGCTCTAGTGGTGGCCGTTCCGGCGGTGGTGGCTATGGACGTGATGGTGGCAGTTCGGGTGGCTTCAGTCGTCGTGATTCATATGGCCGTGATGGTGGCAGTTCAGGAGGTCGCTCCTTCGGTGGCCAAGGTGGTGGCGGTGGTCGTTTTAGATCACGTTCGCCCATGGGACGTTTTTAAATCAAAAAATATCTTATACAATTATCTACAATTTTAACGAAAAAGTTAATAACAAGTAAGCTTCGATATATACATATAGAAATAACTACGTTAAGCTGCGTTTAGTAAAAAAAATCTGAAAATTTTGTAGAAAATTGCAAATATGTATGAACGTAATATATATATATAGTACTCTATTCTACTTTTTAAGGCGAAATTTTTCACCCCCCAGAAAATTTCGTTTCTAGTGTCGTAAGTCATAATTTTAATTTAAAATTTCCTCTAAAAATGAAAAACAACAAAAAATATCTACTCGTTAACTACCATTTTGCAGAAATTCGTAAAAAACAAAAGAATTTGTCATAAATTAACAAAAACACAAGGCAAAAAAACAAATTTGAGAGAGCTAAGGCAAATCTTTTTTGAAAACAAAACACAAAAAGAGCGACAAAACGTTTTAGTCAAAAACAAAATGGCAGCAAAAATGATAAAAGAGAGATGATTTTTAAAAAATTGTATTTATATTTTTACACTTAAAAACAACGTTTAAATTTAAGTTATTTTTCCCTACAAACAAACAAAAATTCTACATAATCATTACTTTTTCACTCAAAAATTTATTAAAGAAAAATTATAACTACGTAATACTACGCTAAGTTTATACGTCTGTCTATACTGCAAGAAAGAAAAATAAGAGAAACCAGATAATTAAAAAAAAAAAAACAAAAAGAAATTTTTAGCAAAAAAAAACAAATTAAAAAGAAAAAACAGAATTGATGTGTAATCTCATTTAAATGATTAAAACAAAAACATGAATTAACTACTACTCGTACTATTTCTGTAACAATTACACAGTATTCCACAAAAAAAGCAAGAAAAATATGAACAAAAAAACATACAAAAACAAAAATTTATCAAACGTCGTTTTATTTAATTAATTTTGAAAAAAAAAAATGAAAACTTCGCATTTACAGCAACAACAACACAACATTTGAACGATTAACTACCAGGACTCCAACCTTAAGGATTTCCATGATGCCAAAGATGTCTACAAGTTCCTTCATTAACTTCGTCTTCGTTTTTATGTCTTTTTGATTCTTCTGCCTCGCATCTCGTCTTTAGCGCTCTTAACTTTCTTCCACGTCCTCATCGTAATAAATCTTTCTCGTACTTTCTGTATTTAATATTCTTTTGGAGAAAGTTTTCTTTAGAAAAGTTTCTTCTGGAGACAGTTTTCTTCAGAAAAATGTCTTCTGTAGACAGTTTTCTTTAGAAAAATGTCTTCTGGAGACAGTTTTCTTTAGAAAAGTGTCTTCTGGAGACAGTTTTCTTTAGAAAAGTGTCTTCTGGAGACAATTTTCTTTAGAAAAGTGTCTTCTGGAGACAGTTTTCTTCAGAAAAATGTCTTCTGGAGACAGTTTTCTTCAGAAAAATGTCTTCTGGAGACAGTTTTCTTTAGAAAAGTGTCTTCTGGAGACAGTTTTCTTCAGAAAAATGTCTTCTGGAGACAGTTTTCTTCAGAAAAGTGTCTTCTGGAGACAGTTTTCTTTAGAAAAGTATCTTCTGGAGACAGTTTTCTTTAGAAAAGTATCTTCTGGAGACAATTTTCTTTAGAAAAGTATCTTCTGTAGGCATTTTTCTTTAGAAAATGTTCTTCTGGAAACATGTTTCTTTAGAAAATAGTCTTCTGGAGACAGTTTTCTTAAGAAAAGTGTCTTCTAGAGACAGATTTATTAAGAAGTGTCTCTTGGAGACAGTTTTCTACAGAAAAATGTCTTCTGGAGATAGTGTTCTTATTTATCGCTCTCAACTTCTACGCCCTCGTCGTATTAAATCTCTCTCACTTTCTTGCTCTCAGTATTTACCGTTAGTTTAGTATAAAAATGTAAAATAATCAATCGCCTCCCTTTTTTTCCCCCCATCTTAGTTAAAAACACACACTTTTTTTAAACTACGCTTCGTTTCGTTTTATTTTTCGTTACATTCATCGTCTCACGATAAAAAATCCTTCAAAAGATCCCAACAAAAATCGTTAAACTACTACTTTAACAACGTAAGCAACCTTAATAAGTAATTTATAACACACCTCTATTACTACTACTACTACTTACTCTACTCATCATTATTATATTATATATCAAAATCCTACGCCCTACTACGTATCGTTGCCCAAAAAACAACAACGCCCACATATATATATATATTCTCTTTTAATTTAAAAATCACCTCACCACCTTAATTTTTCGCAACGCATCTTTTTTATTATTTAACTTAAGTTTAAAAGCACCTTTAACCAAACCAAAAAAAAACTTCGACGTTCTACGTCTTATTTGGAAACAAATCCTACTACTACGCCTTAAAATCAAGAAAACTACTACATTTTAAAACAATTTACGTACTACGACATCTCGTTCGTTCTTTTAAATACCAAAAACCACGTACGTCTTCAAAATTTTATTATTTTTTGTAACAAAATACTACGCTTGCGTCTTCATTTTATTTAAAAAAAAAAAAAACACACACTAATTTTTGGCGTCTCCTTACTCCTGCTTCGTTACCAAACAAACAAAAATTTATATTAAACTCAAATTGGCCTTAAAATATTAAATATCTCACCAAACGCCATTTTCTCAACTTTATTTATATTTTAACACATACACACACAACTTCCTTCGTAGCTCACCCGTTTCGTTTAATCTTTTTTATCGTATCTCGTATGTACTTCTAATATGCCCAATCGACCGACCCAATGATCATCAACACTTCGTATTATGCTGCTGCAGCTGGATGATGCTCCCTTTCTCCCTGTTGTAAACTGGATTCTACAGAAATATGCTACAATACTTTTCTTTTTATTTTCAGCTTTTGTTTATTTTTACTTTTCAGATCTACCTGAATTCTAATATTAAGATAGGAACCATTTTTGGGGGTGACTTTCTATTGCGGGATATAGTGTAGGGGGGTTGTTTTTAAGAATTATTAGAAATTTACTAATGCAAGGTATAGTTTATAATTTAGTATTAAAAAATTCGCTTTTGATTATAGTTTACTGTGAAAAGCTGTCATCTAGGGAACGTTTTTTGTGGAAAGTTATCTTCTAGAATAGCGTTCTTTAGAAAAGTGTCTTCTGGAGACAGTTTTCTTTAAAAAAGTGTCTTCTGGAGACAGTTTTCTTTAGAGAAGTGTTTTCAGGAGACAGTTTTCTTTAGGAAAGTGTCTTCTGGAAACAGTTTTCTTTAGAAAAGTGCCTTCAGGAGACAGTTTTCTTTAGAAAAGTGTCATCTGGAGACAGTTTTCTTTAGAAAAGTGTCTTCTGGAGACGGTTTTCTTTAGAAAAGTGTCTTCTGGAGACAGTTTTCTTTAGAAAAGTGTCTTCTGGAGACAGTTTTCTTTAGAAAAGTGTCTTCTGGAGACAATTTTCTTTAGAAAAGTGTCTTCTGTAGACAGTTTTCTTTAGAGAAGTGTCTTCTACATACAGTTTTTTTTAGAAAAAGTATCTTTTGAAGACAGTTTTCTTTAGAAAAGTGTCTTCTGGAGACAGTTTTCTTTAGGAAAGTGTCTTCTGGAGACAGTTTTCTTTAGAAAGGTGTCTTCAGGAGACAGTTTTCTTTAGAAAAATGTCTTCAGGAGACAGTTTCCTTTAGAAAAGTGTCTTCTGGAGACAGTTTTCTTTAGAAAAGTGTCTTCTGGAGACAGTTTTCATTAGAAAAGTGTCTTCTGGAGACAGTTTTCTTTAGAAAAGTGTCTTCTGGAGACAGTTTTCTTTAGAAAAGTGTCTTCTGGAGACAGTTTTCTTTAGAAAAGTGTCTTCTGGAGACAGTTTTCTTTAGAAAATTGTCTTCTGGAGACAGTTTTCTTTAGAAAATTGTCTTCTGGAGACAGTTTTCTTTAGAAAATTGTCTTCTGGAGACAGTTTTCTTTAGAAACGCGTTTTCAGGAGACAGTTTTCTTTAAAAAAGTGTCTTCTGGAGACAGTTTTCTTTAGAAAAGTGTCTTCTGAAGACAGTTTTCTTTAGAAAAGTGTCTTCTGGAGACAGTTTTCTTTAGAAAAGTGTCTTCTGGAGACAGTTTTCTTTAGAAAAGTGTCTTCTGGAGACAGTTTTCTTTAGAAAAGTGTCTTCTGGAGACAATTTTCTTTAGAAAAGTGTCTTCTGGAGACAGTTTTCTTTAGAAAGGTGTCTTCTGGAGACAGTTTTCTTTAGAAAAGTGTCTTCTGGAGACAGTTTTCTTTAGAAAAGTGTCTTCTGGAGACAGTTTTCTTTAGAAAATTGTCTTCTGGAGACAGTTTTCTTTAGAAAATTGTCTTCTGGAGACAGTTTTCTTTAGAAAATTGTCTTCCGGAGACAGTTTTCTTTAGAAAATTGTCTTCCGGAGACAGTTTTCTTTAGAAAATTGTCTTCCGGAGACAGTTTTCTTTAGAAAATTGTCTTCTGGAGACAGTTTTCTTTAGAAAATTGTCTTCTGGAGACAGTTTTCTTTAGAAAATTGTCTTCTGGAGACAGTTTTCTTTAGAAAATTGTCTTCTGGAGACAGTTTTCTTTAGAAAATTGTCTTCTGGAGACAGTTTTCTTTAGAAAATTGTCTTCTGGAGACAGTTTTCTTTAGAAAATTGTCTTCTGGAGACAGTTTTCTTTAGAAAATTGTCTTCTGGAGACAGTTTTCTTTAGAAAATTGTCTTCTGGAGACAGTTTTCTTTAGAAAATTGTCTTCTGGAGACAGTTTTCTTTAGAAAATTGTCTTCTGGAGACAGTTTTCTTTAGAAAATTGTCTTCTGGAGACAGTTTTCTTTAGAAAATTGTCTTCTGGAGACAGTTTTCTTTAGAAAATTGTCTTCTGGAGACAGTTTTCTTTAGAAAATTGTCTTCTGGAGACAGTTTTCTTTAGAAGTGTCATCTGGAGACAGTTTTCTTTAGAAGTGTCATCTGGAGACAGTTTTCTTTAGAAAAGTGTCTTCTGGAGACAGTTTTCTTTAGAAGTGTCATATGGAGACAGTTTTCTTTAGAAGTGTCATATGGAGACAGTTTTCTTTAGAAGTGTCTTCTGGAGACAGTTTGCTTTAGAAGTGTCTTCTGGAGACAGTTTTCTTTAGAAAAGTGTCTTCTGGAGACAATTTTCTTTAGAAAAGTGTCTTCTGGAGACAATTTTCTTTAGAAAAGTGTCTTCTGGAGACAGTTTTCTTTAGAGAAGTGTCTTCTACAGACAGTTTTTTTAGAAAAGTATCTTTTGAAGACAGTTTTTTAGAAAAGTGTCTTCTGGAGACAGTTTTCTTCAGAAAAGTGTCATCTGGAGACAGTTTTCTTTAGAAAAGTGTCTTCTGGAGAAAGTTTTTTTTTAGAAAGTGTCTTCTGGAGAGTTTTCTTTAGAAAAGTGTATTCTGGAGAAAGTTTTCTTTAGAGAAGAGTCTTCTGGAGACAGTTTTCTTTAGAAAAGTGCCTTCTGGAGACAGTTTTCTTTAGAAAAGTGTCTTCTGCAGGCAGTTTTCTTTAGAAAAGTGTCTTCTGCAGGCAGTTTTCTTTAGAAAAGAGTCTTCAGCAGGAAGTTTTCTTTAGAGAAGTGTCTTCTACAGACAATTTTTTTTAGAAAAGTATCTTCTGGAAACAGTTTTCTTTATAAAAGTGTCTTCTGGAGACAATTTTGTTTAAAAAAGTGCATTCTGGGGACAGTTTTCTTTAGAAAAATTTAACCTAGAGAAAGTTTTCTATTGAGTAATAAAGTCTAGCTGCAATTTTGTATAACAGAAAGATAAATGCAATAATTTTTAGTCTTTTAGGAACGCAAAATCTAAATTTATATTTTTATTACTTCTCTACGAAAATGCAACAATTTTTATTTAATTTTTTATTGATGTCATGACCCGAATAAATCTAATCATTACAAATACACACAAACACATCAAAACGTTGGTGGGTTGTGTGAGCAAAACATTTTGCAATATAACCACCACCCCATACCATTTTTTGAGTACGTACATTGATCAATGTGCAAATATTTATTTATGGTGAGCTACTATAACCAAATACAAAAATATTTTCAATTGCACATGTGTTTGGTTGATTTTAATTTATTTAATTAAAACGCAGATGTTATTGCTTTATCTTGATTTTAATTACAAACACAAATTGTGTGAGTCAATTGTTCAGATAACAAATTTACTAAAAATAAATTTTAATTATAAAATAAGTATTGGGTGCAGAGGGGTAGAGTTTTGAAATCGTGGCTCATTTAGAATGACGTACCTTAATATGAGTGCAAATGAGTTTGAAATTCTAAAGAGAAGAGAATCGTTATTTTAATAAAATTTTTTTACTAAAGCAGTGAAAGACACCGAAAGCTATCAGGGGCCGAGAGTGTACTATTAGTTTACATTTCTTTTGAAAATTATATTATCAAGGCAATTTTCTATAGAAAAGTGTTCAGGAAGCTGTCATCTAGAAATAGTTTTCTATAGAAAAATGTCTTCTGGAGATACTTTTCTTTAACAAAATTCTTCTGAAGACAGTTTTCTTTAGAAAAATTTCTTCTGGAGGCAGTTTTCTTTAGAAAAATATCTTGAGAAAGTTTTCTTTAGAAAATTTTCTTCTGGTGACAGTTTTCTTTAGAAAAGTTTCTCCTGCAACAAGTTTTCTTTAGAAAAGATACTTATGGGTAATATTTTCTATAGAAAAGTGACATCTGGGTAAAGCTTTCTATACAAAAGAGTTTTCTGGAAACAGTTATTCTTTAGAAAAGTATCTTCATAAGAGAATTTTCTTTAGAAAAGTTTCTTCATAACACAATTTTCTTTAGAAATGTGTCTTCTTCTGGTGAGAGTTGTTTTAAGAAAACTGCTTTAGAGGCAGTTTTCCATAGACAAGTTACTTCTACAGAAAGTTTTTTTGTAGATAAGTTATTTTCTATTGAAAAAGTTTGTTTTAGAGGCAGTTTTCTATTGAGAAATGTTATTTGGATACTCTTCTATATTAATGTGTTTCGTTATAGAGAAGATTTTCTATAGGAAAGATAATTTTGTTTTGTTACTTTACACTTCATTTAAATAATTCTTCTGTAGGCTTGATTTTTCTTCCTCTTAGCTAATAAACTCTTTTATTATTGTTTCTTTTATCCATATATTTATTTACAATAACGATCCGCTTTCATTTTACTACGTCTATCAAGTAAAGCCTCATGCAAAGTACCTTTCTCCTTGGCCGTTTCCAATTCCTTGATATCATTTTTGTTAATGCGCAACTTTTTGTCCTGGAACTTTTGGAATTTTTTGCTAGAAAACAAGAAAAAAATCTATTAATATGTCCTTGATATAGAAAAAGAACGTTACAAGCTTAGAAACTTACACATAGTTCTTTTCCACCTCTGCCAAATCACCCTTTTCCTCGGTAGGTTCATCATCTACCACACATTCTCTCGCCGCATTGCTGCGTACTTTACATATCTCCAAATCTGTAACTTTTTTGCGTAAAGCCACACAGGCATCATCTTCAGGGTCGATAGACATAAAGAAACCCAACTCGGATAGCAAAGCCATTTTGCCATCCTCAAATATGGGCTCCCATTGTTCCATGCTACCCACCGCCTCTGAGCGGCCGGTAACCATGCCATCTTTTTCGATTTTTAAATATTTGCCATAGCCAGACTTAAAGGTTACCTTGCGTTCATTTATGGGAAAGGCAGTGAATATTTCCTCAGGGTCGGGGCCTTCACCCTCGCGATGTGGTGGCCCTAAGGTAAAAAGACCATTATCTAAAGCCTTAACATAAGCGCGTTCACCAAACTGTATGGCCACGGGACCGGTTATTTCGGTAGCTAACTTGGCTTGCCACCAACCGCCATGTTTTAAAGCATCCTCATCCACTTGAGTTTTACGTTTCTTGTGGGAATCGTCTTTATGTTCTTTTTCCTTTTTGCGTTTTTTACTTTTCCTGTTAAAGGAAAAGTGTTTAAGGGTTTGTTTTGTTGGCTTTTTATTTCATAACTTACTTGTGTTTTTCTCCCTTTAAAACTAATTTACCAATTTTAACTTTATCGTATTCAGAAGACATGTTTTCGTTTTTATTTATCTGTGGTAATGAAAATTTGTTTACTTTTGTTAAGGGAAATCAAAGTAAAATGATGTTAGAGGGATATATATTGCTTTAGGAATATAGGGATTGACGGCTTAGTAGCCGTTTAGCTATTTTTTATATATAAAATATGACGGTTTCAGTACTCATTGATACGAATCATGTTTTTATCTTATATGAATTCACTTTGACGTTTGTTTTGAGTAAAAAAGTTGCCATATGGTATTTCTGGTAAGAACGTAGAGGCTGCCATATTAATATAGGTTGCCATATTTTACTATCGGCTTTTGCAATAGCGCCATCTATATGTGAAAAATTTTTCGAGGATTTTAATATAATTTATAATAATTTTCTTTAAAATACGTTTTTATTAGCACAATTAATGAAAATTTCGTAGTTTTATACTTAGTTTTATTAAAATATATTAATAAATCTCTTATTCGTTCTATTACTAAAAACAATGCTACCACTTTGTTTTTGGTACGGCAACTCTTGTTATAACTCAGCTGTCATTGCTTACTGACAACACAAAGAAAGACAAGCACAAAGTGAAAAATAAAAATAGCAACGAAATTTTGCGGAAAATAGTAGAAGAAAAAGAAAAGAAGACGTAGGGAAGGACAGTAAAAGCAAAGAAGAAAATTATTTTTATTTAGGAGAACATCAAGAATTTATATATTTCTTTTTTTTATAAAACTGCAACAGATTTACAAATTGTTAAACAAAAATCCATAACAATATAAAGAATTTATAGAAAAAATGGTAAGTAAACAGAAATAATTAATAAGGCGAAAAAAACAATTACCAAAATAGAAAGTTATGACAAATGTGAATTAAGCAAAAAAAGCCATCGAGAAAGAAAAAAAAAATTAAACGAAATATGCAACAAAAATAATAGATTTTCCGCAAAAATTAAGTCTCTATAAGGAATAGAACTAAATTAAACATTTATGCAACAAAAAGTATAAAAACAAAGCATAGCAAAAAGAATTAAACAATAAAAGGCATGAAAAAATATAATATTAAGTTAATTTATTACGTTTCCAGAACAAATTGAAATCCACACAAAGGGATAAAGTGAAAAAATTCATCTCCTTAACCCAAACGGGCGAACAGACCGCCATCTATTGCCTGCAGCAGAATGATTGGAAACTGGACTTGGCCAGTGATAACTATTTTCAAAATCCCGAATACTATTATCGCGAGCTAGATCGCAAACGCATTGAACAGTTATTCTTGCGCTATCGTGATCCCTCGGATACTCAGAAAATCACCTCCGAGGGTGTAATACGTTTTCTAGATGATCTAGAACTAAGTCCCGATTCGAAACTTGTGCTAATCATAGCCTGGAAGTTTCATGCAGAGGTACAATGTGAATTTACCCGCGAGGAATTTGTCAATGGCATGAGTGAGTTGGGTATTGATTCAATAGATAAGCTGAAGGTTAAGTTGCCGCTGCTAGAAATGGAACTTAATGATTTGGCCAAATTTAAGGATTTCTATCAGTTTACTTTCAACTATGCCAAGGATCCAGGTCAGAAGGGTATTGATTTGGATATGGCTATTGCCTATTGGACCATTGTGTTGAGTGGACGTTTTAAGTTTTTGGATTTGTGGTGCAAGTTTTTGAAGGTGAGTAAAGTTTAAATATGAAATGAATTTGAACATTTATTTGCTTATATCATGTTTTAGGAAAAACATAAACGTTCTATACCCAAAGATACATGGAATTTATTGCTGGATTTTGCCATTCATATTGATGACAATATGAGTAATTATGACTCCGAAGGAGCCTGGCCAGTGCTAATCGATGATTTTGTCGAATGGTGCCAAGAAAATCGCCAACTATTACAAAATTACCTGCAAGCAAACTCATCGCTAACACCTCAGCAGTTACAACAGCAGTCAGTGGCAGCTGCTGCCGCTAGCCAACAACAAAAGAACATATCGAATAGTTTTCAATCATCAGCGCACAGTACAAATATGAACTATGGCTAACGTTTGTTTACTAGCATGTTTTAAATTAACAAAAACAAAAAATAAAAGAAATATATTAAATTTAAATACAACAACAAAAAGAATTCAAAGAAAATAAAAGAAATATAATTATTTTTTTTTGCTTTTATCCCTTTTGAAAATTGAATAAAACAAAATAAAACTACTTTTCTTCTTCCTCTCCCCAAAAGAAACATTACAAAGTAATATTTGAAATAAACAACATTCTGCAAAAAAAAAACAAGAACAACAAACAGAGCATGTAATGTATTGTAATAATATTAATATTAAATTAAAATAATGTTAAAATATATTACTTATTTAATAAATATGTATTTAGTTAAACCAAGAAAAAACAAAAACCAACTAAAAATATATAATAAATAACGTGTCATTTGGAGGCGTTATAAAAGAAATTCTATTTAAATTTAAACAAAACATGAAAAAAACTGAAATTTTTTGAAAATGCTAAAAGTAAAACACTTTCGGTACTAGAAACAGCATAAAATTTTCTTTCTCATCTTTTATGATTTTGTACTATTTTTATTTTTCTTTTTACATTTTGGTTCTTTTTTTTTTTGGTTATTTTCAGTTTTAAGTGCTTTACATTTTCAAAATATTTAAATAATAAACAAAAATTAAGAATATATTTTTTTGCTTTCCTGTATGTATAAAAATAAATAATAATAATAATAAAAAAAGAAATTAGTTTTTAAATAAATAATGCTAATTAAATATAAACAAGTAAAACGTGTATTTTTTTTAATCGATTCGATTAAAAAATCGATTAAAAAATCGATTCCTTAGGGAAAGGGAAAGTCTATTCTATAAACTAAACTATTCTGTAGACTAAACTTTAGTCTTTCTATAGACTAAACTTTAGTCTATTCTATAGACTAAACTTTAGTCTATTCTATAGACTAAACTTTAGTCTATTCTATAGACTAAACTTTAGTCTATTCTATAGACTAAACTTTAGTCTATTCTATAGACTAAACTTTAGTCTATTCTATAGACTAAACTTTAGTCTATTCTATAGACTAAACTTTAGTCTATTATATAGACTAAACTTTAGTCTATTCTATAGACTAAACTTTAGTCTATTCTATAGACTAAACTTTAGTCTATTCTATAGACTAAACTTTAGTCTATTCTATAGACTAAACTTTAGTCTATTCTATAGACTAAACTTTAGTCTATTCTATAGACTAAACTTTAGTCTATTCTATAGACTAAACTTTAGTATATTCTATAGACTAAACTTTAGTCTATTCTATAGACTAAACTTTAGTCTATTCTATAGACTAAACTTTAGTCTATTCTATAGACTAAACATTAGTCTATTCTATAGACTAAACTTCAGTCTATTCTATAGACTAAACTTTAGTCTATTCTATAGACTAAACTTTAGTATATTCTATAGACTAAACTTTAGTCTATTCTATAGACTAAACTTTAGTCTATTCTATAGACTAAACTTTAGTCTATTCTATAGACTAAACTTTAGTCTATTCTATAGACTAAACTTCAGTCTATTCTATAGACTAAACTTTAGTCTATTCTATAGACTAAACTTTAGTCTATTCTATAGACTAAACTTAAGTCTATTCTATAGACTAAACTTTAGTCTATTCTATAGACTAAACTTAAGTCTATTCTATAGACTAAACTTTAGTCTATTCTATAGACTAAACTTAAGTCTATTCTATAGACTAAACTTAAGTCTATTCTATAGACTAAACTTTAGTCTATTCTATAGACTAAACTTAAGTCTATTCTATAGACTAAACTTTAGTCTATTCTATAGACTAAACTTTAGTCTATTCTATAGACTAAACTTTAGTCTATTCTATAGACTAAACTTTAGTCTATTCTATAGACTAAACTTTAGTCTATTCTATAGACTAAACTTAAGTCTATTCTATAGACTAAACTTTAGTCTATTCTATAGACTAAACTTTAGTCTATTCTACAGACTAAACTTCAGTCTATTCTATAGACTAAACTTAGTCTATTCTATAGACTAAACTTTAGTCTATTCTATAGACTAAACTTTAGTCTATTCTATAGACTAAACTTTAGTCTATTCTATAGACTAAACTTTAGTCTATTCTATAGACTAAACTTTAGTCTATTCTATAGACTAAACTTTAGTCTATTCTATAGACTAAACTTTAGTCTATTCTATAGACTAAACTTTAGTCTATTCTATAGACTAAACTTTAGTCTATTCTATAGACTAAACTTTAGTCTATTCTATAGACTAAACTTAGTCTATTCTATAGACTAAACTTTAGTCTATTCTATAGACTAAACTTAGTCTATTCTATAGACTAAACTTTAGTCTATTCTATAGATAAACTTAGTATTCTATAGACGAAACTTTAGTATATTCTATAGACTAAACTTTAGTCTATTCTATAGACCTAACTTTAGTCTGTTCTATAGACTAAACTTTAGTCTGTTCTATAGACTAAACTTTATTCTGTTCTATAGACAAAATTAAGTCTTTTCCATAGACTAAAGTTAAATCTGTTCTATAGACTAAAGTTTAGTCTATTCTATAGACTAAACTTTAGTCTATTCTATAGACAAACTTTAGTCTATTCTATAGACTAAACTTTAGTCTATTCTATAGACTAAGTTTAGTCTATTCTATAGACTAAACTTTAGTCCTTTCTATAGACTAAACTTTAGTCTATTCTATAGACTAAACTTTAGTCTATTCTATAGACTAAACTTTAGTCTATTCTATAGACTAAACTTTAGTCTATTCTATAGACTAAACTTTAGTCTATTCTATAGACTAAACTTTAGTCTATTCTATAGACTAAACTTTAGTCTATTCTATAGACTAAACTTTAGTCTATTCTATAGACTAAACTTTAGTCTATTCTATAGACTAAACTTTAGTCTATTCTATAGACTAAACTTTAGTCTATTCTATAGACTAAACTTTAGTCTATTCTATAGACTAAACTTTAGTCTATTCTATAGACTAAACTTTAGTCTATTCTATAGACTAAACTTTAGTCTATTCTATAGACTAAACTTTAGTCTATTCTATAGACTAAACTTTAGTCTATTCTATAGACTAAACTTTAGTCTATTCTATAGACTAAACTTTAGTCTATTCTATAGACTAAACTTTAGTCTATTCTATAGACTAAACTTTAGTCTATTCTATAGACTAAACTCTAGTCTACTCTATAGACTAAACTTTAGTCTATTCTATAGACTAAACTCTAGTCTACTCTATAGACTAAACGTTAGTCTATTCTATAGACTAAACTTTAGTCTATTCTATAGACTAAACGTTAGTCTATTCTATAGACTAAACGTTAGTCTATTCTATAGACTAAACGTTAATCTATTCTATAGAATAAACTTTAGTCTATTCTATAGACTAAACTTTAGTCTATTCTATAGACTAAACTTTAGTCTATTCTATAGACTAAACTTTAGTCTATTCTATAGACTAAACTTTAGTCTATTCTATAGACTAAACTTTAGTCTATTCTATAGACTAAACTTTAGTCTATTCTATAGACTAAACTTTAGTCTATTCTATAGACTCTATTGTATAGACTAAACTTTAGTCTATTGTATAGACTAAACTTTAGTCTATTGTATAGACTAAACTTTAGTCTATTGTATAGACTAAACTTTAGTCTAGTCTATTGTATAGACTAAACTTTAGTCTATTGTATAGACTAAACTTTAGTCTATTGTATAGACTAAACTTTAGTCTATTCTATAGACTAAACTTTAGTCTATTCTATAGACTAAACTTTAGTCTATTCTATAGACTAAACTTTAGTCTATTATATAGACTAAACTTTAGTCTATTCTATAGACTAAAATTTAGTCTACTCTATAGACTAAACTTTATTATATTCTATGGACTAAACTTTAGTCTATTATATAGACTAAACTTTAGTCTACTCTATAGACTAAACTTTATTATATTCTATGGACTAATTTTCATAGACTATAGACTAAACTTTAGTCTATTCTATAGACTAAACTTGAGTCTATTCTTTACACTAATCTTTAGTCTATTCTATTCTAAATAAAATGCGTTTTATGAATTTTTTAATTAAGTAAAACTTAAGTTTATTCTTTATTTATATATAAAAAATGTATGTATGTGTGTGTTGTGTGTGAGAATATGTTTAAATTTTTACGTTTTTTTTCTGTTAAAAAATTAATATTTTAGATTTCTTTTACAAGCTGCGACTACTACAAAATAATACGTATGACGATATGATGACGACGTTGTTTTTTTATATATATCATTAAAAATAAAAATACACTAAAATAACAAAACTTACAAAAGAAAAAAATTTAATTATTATTAAAATAAAATAAGCATACTCCTCCTTAAGGTTGTTTTGTTCTTTTAACATGAAAATCTTCTATGAATTAATGTTTTTTCTTATAAAAAAACACAAACATGAAGCCAATGAACAGAAAAAATATGAATGAAAATAAATAAAATAAACTTTTTAAATAAAATTTAACAAGACACTAAGAGAAAGCGTAAAGAGAGATAAACATTTACTTCACTTTTTGGCGGAAGTTAAAATAATTAATTTCTTACGTTTAACAATGAGGGGTAAAACTTAAAGGAAAATAATTATAAAGAAAAAGTAAGACATAAAGACATAACAGGCGGGACATAAGGAGCAGTAGAGAAAGAGAGAGTGCGACAGGAAGTGAGAAGCCTGTAGAGAGAAAGATTTTTCTCTTAAAAGAACATTTTCTCCAGCATTTTACTAAGTTTTTCATGGGCATAGCGTATCTTCTGATATAAATCCTTGGAACAGCCATGCTGTATAATGGTGGAGAAACGATAAGTACGGAAATTCTTTTCATGATCCATATATGTTATGGCACTCATGCGGGGACATAAAATGATTTTCATATGATCCGAGAAATTAAGCTGTAGAATAGGAAAAAATAAGCTATTAGTTTATGTAGCCTTTTTTAAAAAAAATGAAGCTTTTACCTGTACAGTGCCATTAGTTAAATGCATGACTACAGCACAAGTGGTTCGAAACCAGGAATGTAAATGTGGCATACGTGAGATTTGATCAGACTCAAAGTTGACATTATTGGCACCAGCCTTAACTAAATGTTCAGTCATATAACGTTTGAAATACGAAAGTAATTTCATTTTCTTATCCAAGGCTTTCGAATAATCGGTGGTAGTCATATAGGATTCCTTGCCATCTTTATCGATGAAATGGACATTGCTGATAAAGAAATAAAACAAATTTAATTTTTACA